TAGTGTTTTAATAATTACAAAGGGAACAAATGGCAGATCTCAGTATGGAATGAGGTTGACTAATCTCTTCCTTGTCTCAGCTGCCCTACCATCCCATGTGATATGCAAGTTTTTTGGAGGTATAATTTTGTCTAATTGAAAACAGCGTAAAATTAAACAGCTAAGCAGGAATGTTGCAATCCTTGAAATCGTATACATTCCTGTTGAGCACCACAACTGGACGTCGTTAGTACGATGGTTGTCTTAAATGATTTTAACTGAGATATATTTCAAATATAGTCGAAACGAAATAAAATATGAAATAATTTAGAGATTATTCTGGTTATATCATAACCGTATAGCTAGAGTTGTTAGTTGAAGTAACGTCTTGTTTTAGAAATGAAAAATTAAACATAGGGAAGGAAATTGAAAGACTCCACGAATGAAAAGGAGCGAAGGAAAAGGGCAAAAGAACAGAAAGGAATTGAAAGAAAAATGGAAATAAAATCGAAGGAGGATAAAAACAGGGAAAAAATTGGAAGTGAAGTGAAGAACGAAGAGAGCAGGGAAGGGAAATGAAATTGGAAAGCGAAAATGAAGATAAAAAAACGCAAGAAAAGGGAAAGAAGTGTAGGAAGGGGAAAAGAAGAATCCAGCTTTGGTCGGTAAACGTATATGCAAATGCAAAGACGCGTATTTTCAAGAGGATTTGTGTGTGTGTCTGTGTGTTCGCACCTTTTGTCACTACCTTCAACTTGAGGGCCAGAAAGTTGGAACTTTGGGATTATGTTCGTACGCCATGTGCTCTCCTCACGTTTTAATATCATCGCTCGCGTACGCATGGGTCCCACGTACGGACGCTTTAAAAATGTGCGAATTTTTTGGCGGGAAATCGACTTTGTGGACCAGAAGGAATGGAGAGTTGAAACTTTGTAGAGAAATCCTCTGTGCATTTATGAACTAAAGATTTAAAATTCAACTCCTTGATGTGTGTAATTCTCACGTGCGGGCGCGTAAGAATTGCTAATTCGGAAACCACAAAAGCTAGAAAACTGAAAGCTTAGGGTGATGTTCCTTGTCAAA